TTCTTCTTCTTCTTCTTCTTCTTCTTCTTCTTCTTCTTCTTCTTCTTCTTCTTCTCTTCCTCCTCCTCCTCCTCCTCCTCCTCTTCTTCTTCTTCTTCTTCTTCTTCTTCTTCTTCTTCTTCTTCTTCTTCTTTTTTTCTTCTTCTTGTTGAACACAGTCAGCGCATTACGAGTGGAGCCCGCCGGCCAGTGTTACTGGGGGCTGAGGATTCCTATGAATAAGAAAGGTCGGGTAATGATAGGGGGAATGGTAGGACAAGCGAAGTACAGGTAACGTTTGGCTGGTCGGGAACAACTACACACGCCTCCTTGTCCTGCACTGGTTTGTGGGAAACAGGCTAACAGGGTACTAGGTAATTTAACTTTTATCCTTTTTTTTTTTTTTTTTTTTTTTTTTATAACAAATGCTCCAGTCTATTCGTTGGGAGCAGCACGTGCTGGGAATCGGGCCCAGCGTCCCATTTCGAATTGTACAGATTTATCTTAGTACGCTTTCTCAGTCAATCCCCTGGTCACCCAGGGTAATCAATGCGGGCAGGCTGTAGCCTTATGGTAACATATCAGCGTCTATTCCATGTCTTGCAGTCGCAATTTTGTATTATACAAGGGACGCTGGACCCGGTTTCCAGCAGGTGATACTCCCCACCAATAGATGGAGTCCCCCTATGGTGTTAGAACTCAGAGGTGTCTGCTTGTATCAGCACCTCTAACATCCAAAAGGGAGTTTTCCAAAAAAAAAAAAAAAAAAAAAAAAAAAAAAAGGGTTGATTCAGAAGGATAGGATGTGGTCCCAGGGGGTGGTGTAGGTTGTTTTATCACACGAATAGAGGCGAAATGGTTATATACAGAAATACAGGGGGGGTGCTGAAATAGGGCTGTGGTAATAGAAAATGGGTGCTTCAAAAAAGGCAAGGGTGATACGAGCTCCATGGGGTACCGGAGCCCTGGGACGAGTCAATAATAACCGCAACCGCAGCCCTAGGAATCAACAAGACTCCAATCTCCGTGCTATCTGATGTATCAATGGGACGCTGGACCCGGTTTCCAGCACGTGCTGCTCCCCACCAATAGCTGGAGCAGCCCGACATGCATGCTCACTTCTCACTTCAATCTCTCATGGCCTGCGGGCCCAGTTTTTTTTTTTTTTTTGCTGACTTTGTCTCTTTTGGAGACATGGACATATTACAGAGCACTGAGACCAGTGAGGCAATCCTGACACATTGGTTAAACCACCAGTACCTGCATCAGGGTTGTTAGTCCCCCCCGACACAAGTGAAAACAGACCTGCGTGGTAGGCCAAATTTTCATCTACCGTGTTAACGCCTAAAATCGCGATAGGTACTGGTTGATTAAGACCGTGCATGCTCACTTCAATCTCGAATGGAATCCTCGTCCGGAATATAGAATGTATGGTCATTACAGCTGTCTTTGGGGGCGAGTTTCAGTCTAGATACAGTGATGAGGACCATACATTCGATTGGGGGGAAGAGGGGGAAAATCCATGAAGGGTGGGGTTTGAAGCATGTCCAATACATCATGTTAATCGATGGGATATACTGGAGGCCAGTCTCACGCTAGGACTTCTTTTTTTTTTTTTTCTTTTTTTTTTTCTTTTTTTTTAACTAGGACTTTTCTACTGACTCCTAGGAGTAATTGCGGTCACATACATAAGGGATCTATCCGTAATTGCAGGCAGATACATCAAGAATGTCCCAGTGTGAGTACGCCCTGAGCGCCTCAAGGTGGGCTTGTGCAGTTTTACTCGTACCGACGAGCGTCGACTGGGTCCTATCATCATGATTTGAATATTTTTTTAATCTTTTTTGCGTCGGATAAGATAACACCTTTATTCAGAATAGGAGTAGGTAGTGGAAGGTAAAGAAACAGAAGTTGAGAGAAGAGTATAGAAAAAAAAAAAAAGTAAATATATATAGCCCCTCGTTTGTTCTCTCTCTCTGCCTACAGTTTTACCGGGCAGTTCTGTTTGTGACGATATATATACATATATATATATATCGTCACAAATAGAACTGCCTACGGTAAACCGTAGGCAGAGAGGGAGGGAGAAGAGGACAACAAACGAGGGGCTGTGACAAACTGTTTCGTCGGAGTTTCACCGAC